TGGGAGTTGAAGTCCACCCGTCTTAAAGTTGCTAAGGTTGAGGAACCCTGCTCTAAACATGGAAGCGGTGCTGTCTGCTACTTGCCCTGCCTGCTCTTGCACAGTTTTTTTTTTTTCCGACAATCCCTTGTTTTCCCATCATTCACCCCCTGATCCTCCTTCTTCTGGACTGGGATCTTTTGCAGAAAGCTGTGGTTTGATACTGAGGTGTGATACCCCTGCCCTTCTGCTTGCAGGGATCCAGGCTGTTTCCATCCACTGATGGAATGGGAGATGCCAAGAACCGAAGCTTGAGCATTGCGTTGCAAAGTAGCTTCCTTCCTTGCATCACTCTTTTGGTTCTGGCTTCCCAGTGTGGCCGAGCCCTGGGATTTTCTTGTGGTCTCCCATCCCAGTCCTCACCACGTCCCGTTGTGTGTAGCTTTTCCAGATCAGCCAAGGTTGGCCAAGAGCTGTCACCTGTTACGACAGTTCTTTTCAAAACCTTCAGAGTTGGTGGCCATCAGCATATCTGGTGGCAACAAATTCCATTGCTTAAGTATGTTGTGTCAAGAGATTGATGGATTATCATCAAGCATCAAGTCAGTGTCAACTCTTACTGACCACATAGATAGACTTTCTCTATGACAATCTGCCTCCAACCTGGTCCTTCAGGTCTTTCGATGGTGCCCCCATTGCCGCTGTAACTGAGTCCCTCCATCTGGCTGCTGGTCGTCCCCTTCTTCTCTTTCCTTCCACCTTTTCCAGCCTCATGGTCTTCTCCAGAGAGCTGGGTCTTCGTATAAAGCAGAAAAAAAATTGAGCCTGGTCATTGATGCCTCGAGGGAGAACTCTGGGCTGATTTGTTCGATGGACCATCGGTTTGTTTTCTTGGCTGTGCATGGTCTTCTCAGGAGTCTTCTCCAACCCCAAACTTCAAAAGCATCAATACTTTTCCTATCCCACTTCTTCAAAATCCAGCTTTTGCTTCCATAAAGCGTCACAGGACTTGCCCGACTGATCTTTGTAGGTATGGGTCAAGAGAGCGTTCTTTTTATCTATCCTGAATTTCCCATGGTTTGCCCTCAGTGGATGAACTTAAAACACTTATTTGGAGCTCTGCTCAAAACATAGCTTGTCTTGTCGGGAGAGCATCTGGCCCTTGAACCCATATTGGTTTGCTTACAGTTTGGTTTGGTAATTAAGTTGGGGACCTTTTCTTTTATACAGTTTCTTATATATTCTTTCTTGTGTATTTTAGTTTGTAACCTGCCAGGAGTCCTTGGGGATTCAGCAGTCTATAAATGTGATTAACCAATAAAGTATGCAATCTTCCTAAATTTATATAGGTTTTTTATCTCAGCAATTCTGTTCTGAGTTCTGGCCTGAATGATTCCAATTCAAATATGGAATTTGCTTTCTCTTTTTTTAAGCTCCCCGCAGCCACACTTTGAGTTGACCTTTTCACTGAATTTCCTGGTGATTCCACAACCTGTCATGCCAGCTCAGATGCAATTTATACAGGAAATTTGAACAGGCAAGAGACTGATTTGCACATGTTTTGAACTGCATTTGACTCTCTCATCCAGTTCCTTTTGCAGCTCTTTGATTTTACTACCCCAGTTGGCACATTTGAGTCAGCTGTGCAACTGAAGCCCGCTTCTACCACAAATATGGATGCAAGCTAGGATCTCTAATCCAGAGACTATCTTGCAAGTTAACATATAGTTCTCACTTAATGACCACAATAGGGACCAGAAAATTGGTTGTTAAGCAAGGTGGTTGTTAAGTGAGTCGTGCCCGATTTTACAACCTTTTTGTGGCAGTTGTTAAGCTAATCACTGAGATTGTTAAGCAAATCATGCGGTTCCCCATTGATTTTGCTTGCTGGAAGCCAGTTGGGAAGGTCACAAATGGTGATCATGTGACCCTGGGATGCTGCAACCATCGTAAGTGCAAGCTGGTTGCCAAGCGCCTGGATTGCGATCACATGACTGTGGGGTGCTGGGACGGTCGTAACTTTGGGCACCAGTCCTACATCACTTTTTTTAGCACCATTTTAATTTCGATCACTAAGCAAATGGTTGTTACTCTTGCCTGCATCCATCATGTACTGACACACACAGACACATATGCTGGACGCTGACTGATCCTGTTCTTACTGTCAGTAGTATTATATTAACTCTGTAATATAGTCCTCACACGTACTTATTACAAACTGTCACAAAAACGTGTGAAGTTACACTAGTGAGAATGATGGAAAAAGGATGCTTTGTGGAACGATGAAGTAACCAACTGGCCTTCAGGGGGTCTTCTTTACAAGATGATTAGAAAACGGTGAAAAGTCTCGAACATTAGCTATCGAGGGCTAAGCCATGGCTTATAGAAAGAACACTTGTGGAGTCCTTGGGGTTCTCCGAGCTTGGCTGTTTTTTGGCAGACGTTTCATTACCTGACTAGGTACCCTCTTCAGTGCACTGATGATGCTACCTAGCTGGGTAACGAAACGTCTGCAAGCAAACAACGCAGCTCAGAGAACATCAAGGACCCCACAGTTCAACCCTGAGCTGCAGAGATTCTCTTCTCTTGGAAAGAACACTTGCTTTGTGGCTTGGTTGATTTATGGTTGGCTTGCGACGTGCAGACTCAGCCAGGTGTGTTTGACATAGCACACGACAGGCCCATGTTAAATGGGAACTGGGCTGCATTTCTCCCCATGGCCCAAAGGAAGGGCTAGAATTTGGTATCGTGTTCGGCGGCGGAAGTGGATGGTTGGCAGGGCCATCCCTTCCTCCAATCTGGCACTCGGGAATCTGCAGTGCATCTCGCCACTACTGGCAGAGACCCACGACCCCTTAGAGCAGTTTTTTGTTACACACTAAACGGCCTTCTTTTTAATAGTGGTGATGTTTCTACCCAAAAACAACCAATGACCACCACAGACTGACG